GCAATAAATACAGACCAAACAAACCCCAAACACTTAGACTTCAGAAACTGATGAAAGTCAAGAAAATATAGTTAAGAGTTTACGAGCTCATTCTTAACTTACATCATCCAGTGGCAAAAAGAACAAGGCAGGTTATTCAGTCCTTTGAACATTTTCTAGCTTTTACCAGTTTGGAAAAACAAAACAAACTACAAATGTAGTTCCTTTAATCTTTTTTTCTCATTCAAAATGTCTAAAAAGCTTAATAAATCCCTATTCATCGATAACTTATGTTCTATCATATACTTTACATATGATAGACATATCTACATATCTAAAAAAGTTAAGATAAAAACACCTCCGTTAACTGAAACCACTGCAATGTGCCAGAACTGGGTTTACAGTGTTTCTCACAGCAAGGTGGCATACACATGAAATGAGGAAGAAAAGTGGAATTTACATGACCAATGTTGAGTGGGAAAATCTACTGAGGACGCTATTCTAAACACCTTCTGAGAAGGTTTGTACAAATAAGTGTTGAGTATATAAAGGTTCTCTATTCCAAGGTTTGCCATATTTTGGCTTATGACTGTTTACTTAGGGAATGATGTATCTTCAATGTTATGCAGTTATCTAGCAATCCTTGGTACTAAAAATGTTAATTTTTTAAAGTCGGAGTGAAATATTTTGAAAATTAAGTACAACACAATAACCCAGTTAAAATACGTCAAAAGCAAAAGGCCTTTCCTTTCGGAATAGAGATAAAAACAACGGGAAAAAATCAGCAGCGAGCTTGCCACTTCCAATGTAGACTTACAGGTCCACACTGAGACTGGTGGGTAAAACAGGAACGGAGGCTGGGCATGGTGGCGCATGCCTGAAATCTTCCAGCACTCAGAAGCAGAGGCAGGAGGATCTGAGTTCTAGGCCAGCCTGTTCTACATAGCAAGTTCTAGGACAATCAGGGTTACATAGTGAGACCCTGTTTAAAAAAAAAAAAACAAAAAACAAACCAAAAAACAGGAATGAATTTTATTCTGAGTGTTAATGGACCACATTAAAGACAAGGATTACGTAGATCACAGCAGACATGCAGTCTTGGCATTCTCTGCTTAAGAGAACCAGGAATATACTTTGAGAATGTCAAACCAATAAGAGAAACTATTTTTCTCTAGACTTTCTATAATTTATCAGTTGCAATACAACTATTTACCTTATATTTTTAATGTCAATTAATAATGAATTCAATATTCTAACACTTATAATACTTATCCAAAAATGTGTGTATGTACACATTTCCTCTTAAGAGCGTATTAGCCGGGCGTGGTAGCGCACGCCTGTAGTCCCAGCACTTGGGAGGCAGAGGCAGGCAGATCTCTGTGAGTTCAAGCTCAGCCTGGTGAGTTCCGGGGGGGGGTCAATTCTATAGCATCTATTGTAAATCTAAATCTAACAAGGATCAAAGATGGTCTACCTTCTACATAAATTCGTTTCCTTTCTATCCTCCAGCTCTTAACTACATAGTGAGTTCCAGGACAGCTGGGGCTACAGGGAGACCCTGCTTCAAACAGACAAAAAAAAAAAAAAAAAAAAAAAAAAAAAAAAAAAGAGCTTGGTCTTTGAATACTTGTTCTAAAGTTGTGAGGCACCACATGAATTATAGACCTTTTTCACCATGTTGGTAAACAATGGAACTCACAACCTTTTATGAATATTAAACTTGTAGATTCATTAGGTGCTTTGTGGTAAAACAAATTAGTGAATGCTAATATCTCTTATGCCTACAAAAGAAACTAAACAGGCATTCCTTATGACAAAGGACATTCCATCAATCCCACTTAAAACTTAACATTCCCACCACTTAAACTCTCAATTTAAACAAATGTCCACATTTTCCTTACTATATGTACTTTGCTTAAATGTTGATTATATAGAATGGGTTCTGACAACTAGGAACTGAAAAGTGGATAGTAACATTCTTTAAAAAAATCCCCCACCACACACAATTTCATTAGTATTCACAAAGTTCTTGGTTCTTTGGCAGATCACTTAAAAAAAAAATAGATCACCAGTAAACATGACTTTATTCTAAATGAATCTCCTTTGTATCCTCCAGATCTGCAACCTTAGCCAACTGGAAAAGGATGTCAAGGAAACAATCTTAATATATCAAGTGTATTGTTGAAAATGTCTTTTCCAGCAATTTGCATTATGTACCAACCATGGAAAATGTTCTAAAATAAACACTATTTCATCAGCACAAACAGACAAAACCAGTTTTGAGTTCTTTTCATCTATTTCAGTTCTAGGCTCTTGCATTGTAAAAATCTGGCAAGTTTTCAATCCTTTACTGAAATTGCAAACTAAATATTGTGAATGCTAAACTACATGTTTGCTGTAGACTAGAGTTTGATGCTGGAGCCCAACTTATATTTCAAAAGGTGGTGGGGAGGGAGGGTAATTAAAATTATTAAAGGGGTCAATTCTATAGCATCTATTGTAAATCTAAATCTAACAAGGATCAAAGATGGTCTACCTTCTACATAGTTTCCTTTCTATCCCCCAGCTCTTAATGATTATTGTATTTACTTATTTTTTGATACAGAACATTTATTTTAACAATAGCAACAAGAATCCTCATTGGGAACATCTTCAAAGTGAGTATTTCAGAGATAACAGACTATGAGGGACTGAATCAAAGTAGGGCGAGGGTTTTAGCTCAGTGGTAGAACACTTGCTTAGCATGCATAAGGTCCTGGACTCAATCTCCAGCATAGACAGAAAAAACACAAAAAGCCAAACAACAGAACTGTTTAAAATTTATCAGCAATCGTCACTCTGTCTGCATATTAAGAACTTCTATGTATTAGCTGCCTTGATTACTCTCAGTAGATTAAACCACAGCCAGTTGGTTTAATGAAAATATAAGGTTAGAAGGGAGATACTCGGTATCAGGTTGACTACTATTCAAGTTTGTTGGGTATCAGGCAGCACAAGTGGTTTTGTAACCCATGTCAGTGGGACACTGCTATGTAGAGAATTCAGTCTTTACTACAAAAATCACCTTGAGGCTTCCATAGCAGAAGAAGAACTTATTTTACATTGGGCTGTTCGATCATCTGCCCATTTACTCCTGCCAAGCACCTTCTTAACTGATGAGCAGAACTTACAGGTGGATGCAAGAGCTGGTGTGTGCAGAGGTAGAGACAGGCACATGGGAGAGTTTCTACAGCAAAGTGGCTCTACTCAACTGAAGGACTAAACAGGAGACTGGTGACAGGAAAGGTCATCCTTAGGTCTGAACCACTTACCGTGCACTAGGAGGAATCCTTTTGCCTGCCTTAGACAGTTAAGAAGGTTAAAATTCCTAGCTGACTTTCAAATAAAACAATCACTAGAAAGGAAGCTTTGCAAGTGAACGGGACTCATTTTCAGTCCTCTCCTGCCTGTGAATATAAACCCTTCCCTCCCCTTCCAAGGGAACTTTCCCAAAATAAAAATCACAACATGCTTTGTACCACGTGCTGCTATTGCATCTTAGTTTTAGGCTGATTTCACTGTTTTATTTTTATACAAATACATGTTCATTGCTAGAATTAAAGCAAAAATATTAATGGTCAGGTACTACAGGACTAAAGTGAAACAAACCGGAAAAGCCCAACAACTGAAAAACATCAGCAATAAACTTATTTCAAGACCAAAAGATAAAATTTAGGGGCAATACCTGGAGGAAGGGAAAGTAGGAGTATATAGTTTTTAGAGAGGTATTTATAATGCGAGTTTAATGCCAGCTTTTTAATCATAAAAAGAAGTGATTTTTCTACATACTTACTACCACATACAATGCTTAATCTGGAAAGAAAATTGAAGTTCCTTGGGCCAGCAGCAGATATGGTGTGTCCATTGCCGGCAACAGACAGCACTAAAACAGAAACCCCAAAGCCCAGGGCAAAAGCACTCACAGAAGTAAGAGTGAAGGCTTCAGAATGGGACGGGCAAGGTTTAATCCCAAGTGCTACACGCTGTACAATGTTAGGGCTCTGCCTGAAATTTTACAACTGTAACAGAAACTAAGATAAAGTTCGTATTTTAGTGTCAGTTATGTTACATATTATAAACCGCCTACTCTTGAAGCAAAGGGCTTATCTTTTTAAAAAAATGTTGAGATGTTTAAAATGGAAGTTATGATTATTAGGTATTATCAGCGGTTCTCATTCAACTGTTGGTTGTGTGATTATTCATGGATTTTAATAGAAGTATAATGGCCTACGGCCAAAACTACATTCAAATCCTGCTAATGTATCCAGGCAGATAGGAAATTCCAACACACACACACACACGCACGCACACACACACACACACATACACACACACACACACACACACACACAAACACACAAACTCAAAACTAAAAACCTCCCAAAGGAACTGCTTTGTTTGTAGACTTCAATTTGAAGTAGATACTAAGGGCAATAATAGACCAGTTAAAATTCACCTGAAAAATCCCTTACCAGTCTTCAAATGTGCTAAAATACCTTTGTCAACTTAGCGTCTCTTCATGTATGTTCTATGTAGATGTATTCCATTCCAAATGTCATCTCAGCTATTTAAATATCAGGTGGCCCAAAGAGTTAATACTACTGGCAAAGTTTATAGTGCACCTGAATTTCAGGAAAGGTTACACTCATTTCACTTACTCTTCAACTGACATCGTATGCTAGAGGCCACCTTGTTATCATTGCATAAAGCTATTTAAACCTCTTTTGCTAGCACAATCTGGTTGTCAAAGCTTCATTATACATTTCACTATACAAATACTTTTCAGATGATTTTGTTTTCAAACACGAAACTCTGCTGTAACAGAAACTTAGGTTAAAATGTTTTCATGGTGGTATGGTCTCTTCTTTTATTTAAAGTGTGGTAACTCCAATAGTAAACACGTTGATCCCATGAAGGTTATTGAAGGCTATCAATAAGTGACCATGTATGATATTATCTACAATTCTCAAACTGCAACAGGACAGACTTGAACTTTTAATCAGTTTGTTAAGCATCATCTATGCCATGAATGTTTAAATATAATATATATTTAATATGAAAAGCTAAAGCACAAGTGCTTTCTCCCACCCTAAATTCTGTTTGGGTCCTCATAGATTTGGAATGCATTCTTACCCGCCGCCCTTTTCACACACAAAGTCAGGAGATCTCAGGAAATATAAAGTCAAAAATATACAAATCTTTGTTGTTATTATAATAAGATTTTTTTTCCCATGAATGAAATTACCAAGGACCATGAACTTGGAAAAAGAAAAATCAAAAAGAATTTACAGCAATTATTTATCTTCAAAGTTCAAAACTGGTCACTTCACAGAAAGACTTCAGGGTCTGTTGAAATTTTTCTTCTAAAAAGTCGTTCTGTAGTGGAGTTTTCTAGGAAAAATTAAACAGCTTTTAATAACTGGCCCGCTGGTGTGAGAGCTACCGTGGAATAAATTAGCACAAAAATGGAAAAGAAGTCTTATAACTGTTCACTGTTACAGACATAATCAACAAGGTCAGTCACTCTCAAAAGCTCATCTTCATCCTCTTCTGGTGCCCCCGCCTCCTGTCCACCACTTGTCCCATTGGGGGCTAGGCTTGCACTGACTGTGCTGCTGTCCTTGGGGGTCTGGGGCTTCTCAGTTGGTTTGCCCATCAAGTTCTCAATGGCTTTGCCAGGACTCTGGCCATTGGTGGAAGGCAAATCCACTAAGCTGTAGTCCAGTGGACTTCCCACTTTGCCCACATTGTCAAAGTCCTCTTCCTCATCACTTTCTATCCGGTAGGGCTTCTTGGTGCTCTCCTGCTCGGAGGGCAGGACCCTAGGCTGGCTGTCATGGGCAGGCTGATCCGCATCTCCACGAGCATTGTCACAGCTCTCCTCATCTGTCTCAATCCTGTGTAGCCGTTTACGAGATGGTTTGCCTTCCTCTTCGTCGTCCTCATCTGCTTCTGAATATTCGTCTGTGCTTCGGCCCCGCTTTCGAACTGACCGCTTTGATTCTTTAGTTAGTTCATCATCTTCAGAGTTCTTAGACATATAGCTCTCTAGAATAAAAAGTACATTTAAGCTGTTGGCACAGTTAACCATAAATGGATTCAGGTATTCCTTTCTTTCCCACATTCACCTCATGCCCTTCTTCTAGAGCCATTCTTATGGCCACGGACTGATCTGCCCCTCTATAATAATGCACAATACAATTCACTGTGTATTTTACTTAGGATTTTAGGAAAATTCGGATTTCCTGGGGAAGTCTGATGGCCCATGAGTTAAAGACAGGTTGGCCACAAATTCAGAAACTACTTTCCCTTATTCCTAAAACCAGGGAGTCATGTAAACATATTAGTAGGCAAAGACTGAAACTGCAGAAATGAGGGGAGGCAGGATAACCCTGAGTCTGAGGCCAGCCTCACCTGGCTATCTAATTAGTTGGAAGCTGGCCTATATTACATGAAACCCTCTCAGAACAGCAAAAAACAAAAGCAAAACACTGGGCATCGCTCTGTACATTGGAAACGGCACTCCAGCTCTCCTGTCATTAATTATCTCTGGCAGTCTGCGCATATCTTTTCACACTTTGTGCTAACCTCACGGGTCACCTAGTTTCATGGCTTTGCATACATTTACATACTGATGGGCTTCTTGTTTTAGGCAAGCATTAAATTCCAGATTAGCCAAACAGCCTCCAACATATATGTTTGGGTATCTAAACAAGCATCTTGAATCTAATGTGAACAAAACAGGTTCTGAAGGCCTATTGTTTCTACCATCTTTGTTTTGGGCAGTTTTGTTCTTTTTCCTTTAAAAAAAAAAAAGGTTTATTATTTTATGCAAACAAGTGTTCTGCCTGCACGTATGTATGTGTACATGGTGTGAGCAGTGCCCATGGACGCCAGAAGAGTGTCTAGAAACCCATGTGGGTGCTGGGAACTGAATCCCAGTCCTCTGCAAGAGCAGCCAGTATTCTTAACTGCTGAATCATCTCTTCAACCCCTAGCAGTAATGTGCTTAAAATGGCTTAGTCATCCTCAGTTTCTTTCTTTTTTTCATATAACAAATCAAGGGGCTGGAGCAATGGCTCAGTGGTTAAGAACACTGGCTGCTCTTGCAGAGAACCCAGGTTTGGTTCCCAGCACTAGATGGTGGCTAACATCTGCCTATAACTCCAGTTCTAGAGTATCTGACGCCCTCTTCTGACTTTTTCAGGCATTGCATGACATGGGTACACTTACACATATAGGCGTATGCAATACATTCATACACATAAATCCTAAAAAAAAAACTAATAAATAAAAAAATATTTTATAAAACCCCACACCTGGACTATTTCAGTAACCTCCCAACTGCTCTCCAATCTACTGCCCTGCCCCCCTTCATTTTTAATTACACAGCTACCACAGAAAATTAGAACCCCCATGACAGTGCTATCACCCCATTGCTCAAAATCTTCTAATTGCTTTCCATCTCACAGAGAATATAATCCATCATCTATACAATAGCCTATTCTTGTGGAATTTAATATATAGACACTTTAGATAACTGCTTTCACTGTCACCCAATTTCTTTCAGATTGTTACATAAATATTATGTGTGTGGCAGGGCGTGGTGGCACACGCCTTTAATCCCAGCACTCGGGAAAGGTAGGTGGATCTCTGTGAGTTCAAGGCCAGCCTGGTCTACATAGTGAGTTCCAGGACAGCTTGGGCTACAGGGAGACCCTGTCTCAAAAAGACCAAAAAAAAAAAAAAAAAAAAGTGTGTGTGCATGCGTGCATGTATACATGTGTGCTGCTGGAACTTAACTCAGGCCCACATGCATGCTAGGCAACACTCAACCAATGAGTTATAGCTTCAGCCCTTAAATGATATCTTTCTTTAAAATATTTTATTTATTATTTTTATTTTATGTGTATGCGTGTATTCCCTGCATGTAGGGTAGGTACACCTGTGTTGTGCAATGCCTGCAGAGGACAGAAGGGGCCGCTGGATCCCCTGGAACTAGAGTTACGGACAGTTGTTGGCTGCCATGTGGGTGCTGAGATTTGAACCCGGGTCTTCTGCAAGAACAACCAGCCATCACTGAGCCATCTCTCCAGCCCCAAATGTTTTCCTTAATGAGAACTTCATTAATACTCAATCTGAAATTCTATTGTTCCAACTCCCTTTTCTCCATGGCATACAACTCCATCTAATGTTTTATATTCTACTTATTTTGTTTATAGTCTTTCTACCTACCTCGATTAAGAATTACATAAGGTTATTTTGTTCTGTTGGATTCGTAGTGCTTACAACAGAACCTCGTTCAGTAAATATTCATACTGAATGGTTTAATTAATGAATTTGTTAGTCTTCATGACATGTGAAGATAAACACTCAAAATGAAGCTCAGCCCCTTCTACTGGCTCTCATATCCAAACATTTTTCCCTTTTTATCTGCTAGTCTGTTTTCAAATTCATTTCATGCTTAATTTATAGTTTTGTTTGTTTGTTTTGAAATAAGCCTTCCTGTAGCCCCAGTTGGCCTGGAACTTACTATGTAGGCCAGGCTAGCCTGGTCTCATAGAGACCTGCCTGCCACTGCCTCCTCAGTACTGGGATTCAAGGTGTGAGCCACTAAAGCTCAGCTCATGCTTAATTTATAAAAGCAATCTTCAATCAAACAATGATGAATTAAATGTATAAATAAATAGAAAAGGGTCTAGAGAGATGGTTCAGCAGGTGAGAACACTGGCTGCTCTTACAGAGGACCGACCCAGGTTCCATTCCCAGCACCCACATGGTAGCTAACAACTGTCTGTAACTCCAGTTCCAGGGGATCCAATGGCCTCTTCAGACCTCCATGGGCAATGCACGACAGGAATGTACTTAAAAACATGTAGGCAATACAGTGATACACATCAAGTAAAAATAATAAAATAATTTAAGAAGAGCTCCAGATTAACTTCAAAGACAAAATGAGTATCATAAATTGATATTGAAATCTTAAAAAATTAAAGTTTACTGTGGGTAAGTGCATGTTTCATGTGTGCAGGTGCCCATAGAGGCCAAAAGAGAGCGTTAGATCCTCTGGAGCTGGTGTTAGTGGTGTGTCTGTGAACCTGGAAACTAAACTTGGCTCCTCTCTAAGAACAGGAAGCTGTCCTAACCATTGGACTGTCTCTCCAGCCCCAACAAATTAATATTCTAGAGCTATACTTAAAATTCTGGTTTGGGGCAAAATTCAAACCATTGCATAAAACAGATACCACCTGAAATTCATAGTCAAGTTGGTAAGGACAACAGATATTCTGGGTTGACACGTCTTTGTCATACATTTATTTATTTTTATTTTATGTGTATGAGTGTATTGCCTGCATGTATGTAAGTGCACCTGTGTCGTACAATGCCTTCAGAGGTAAGAAGAGGGTGTTGGAACCCTTGGAAATAGAGTTACGGATGGTTGTTAGCTGCATGTGGGTGCTTGGACTTGAACTTGAATCTTCTTGCAAGAGCAGCCAGTGCTCTGTACTGCTGAGCCCATCTCTCCAGTCCTTTGAGTTTCAAACTATTTAGCTATTCAGGGCATTTCAAAATAAGGGCCATGAATCACAGGCCAAAAAAAGCAAATCTCAAAACAAGAAAACTCATTGTCAGGTGTAGTGGCCAAGCCTTTGAACCCAGTACTCAGGATGCAGAGGCAGGAGGATCCCTGTGAGATCAAGGTCAACCTGGTATGTAGAGAGAGTTACAGGTCAGTTCAGGCTACAAAGCAAACCCGATTCAAAAAACCAACCAAACAACCAAAACAAAACCAACTAAACAAACAAAAAAACTCAAAGCCCCTCAAAATAAATAAAAAACCCCAAATTAACAACAGATAACAAATAGTCATTTATTTAAATTATAATTAGTGATCAGGAAAAAAATACTTAGATTTACCTGAAACTTGCTATGTAGACCAGGCTGGCCTTAAACTCACAGAGATCTGCCTGCCTCTGCCTCCTGAGTGCTGGGATTAGAGGCGTGCACCACCACACCTGGCTGACTTATCTTTTATTAATAAAATATTTAACTTTATTATTATTTATTTATTATTTTTATTTAATATATGTGTGTACACTGACTGCATGTAGGTAGGTGCATCCATGTCAAGCAATTTATTTATTTATTTTATTTTATGTGTATGCAGGTATTGCCTGCATGTAGGTAGGTGCACCCAAGTCATGCAATGCCTGTGGAGGTCAGAAGAGGGCATCAGAGCCTCTGGAGCTAGAGTTATGAAGGTTGTTAGCCTCCATGTGGGTGCTTGGGAATCAAACCCGGTCCTCCGCAATAACAACCAGTGGTCTTAACTGCTAAACCATCTCCTCAGCCCCTAATTTGTTTATTTTTAATTTTATGTGTATGACTGTTTTGCCTGCATGCATGTTAAGTGCACCTGTGCCATGCAATTCCTGTGGAAACCAGAAGAGGGTGACAGATCCTCAGGAACTGGAATTATGGATGGTTGTTAGCCAACATGTAGACACCTAGAACTGAACCTGGATTCTCTAGAGCAAGCAGTGCTCTTAATGGCTCAGTCATCATTCCATCCTACAAAAAAATTTTTTAAAAATATTTTATTATTTTTATATGTATACGTGTATTGCCTGCATGTAGATAAGTGCACCGTGTCATGCAATGCCCGCAGAGGACAGAAGAGGCTGTCGGATCCCCTGGAACTGGAGTTATGGAGAGTTGTTAGCTGCCATGTGGCTGATAGGATTCAAACCCAGGTTTTCTGCAAGAACAACCAATGTTCTTAACGGCTGAGCCATCTCTCCAGCCCCCATCCTACAAAATTTATCTTAAGGGAAATAGTGAGAGGGGCTGGAGAGATGGCTCAGCAGTTAAGAGCACTAAATGCTCTTGCAGAGGACCTGGGTTCAATTACAGCACCCATATGGAGGGTCTGTAACTCCAGTTCCAGGGGATTTGATTCCCATTTCTGACCTTGGTGGGCACTGCATCACATTGCATGACTGCATGCTCTGAGACACATGCAGGCAATTCACTCATACACATAAAATAAAATAATAAATAAAATATTTTAAAGATACTAGTGATTGTATGAATTAAAAAACAAACAAAAAATGCATAACCACAGTCCTCAGTTTCCTGAAGAGGGTCTATGTCTACCTGCCCATGCTCCCAAAAATAGGAGGTACTCTTACCTTCACTTTCTGAGCTGGAAAGCCTGCGCTTGTGAACTCGCCTTATTTCTTTGCCTCGTCGTAAACTCTTCTGGGAACCATCACTTTCTGAATCTTCTTTGTAGTTAATCTGTCTTTTCTGGTTCCTTCTTGACCTCCTTCGCCTGGTCTCTACAAAATCATCACTAAAATCATCGCTAAAGTCACTTTCTGTTTAATAAAAGGAAGAAAAAAGAAGTCAATATTTAAAATTTAAATGCATTTGGTAGAGTGTAACTAGCTCATTCTATAAAAAATATAAAGTAGTTAGGATTTAGTTGTAAAAATTTTAGTTGATTTTTGCTGGGCATCGTAGTGTATGCCTTTAATCCCAGCACTCTGGAGGCAGAGGCAGGTAGATCTCAGTAAGTTCAAGGCCAGCCTGGTCTACACAGTGAGTTCTAGGGCAGCTGGGGCTACAGGGGAGACCCCGTCTCAAAAAAAAAAAAAAATAGTTGATTTTTATAAATCTTATTTTCTTTTAAAAATATGAATCCCTTTGCCAAATATCACAAACGCCCTTTTTTTTTTTTTTTTTTTTTGAGACAAGGTCTCTAGCCCAGAGGGACCTTGAAATCTATGTAGCTGAGGCTGGCTGAATTCCTGCCTCCATCTCTTGAATGCATCGCTGTGCAGTCAGTGGTGGGGATCACACACGGGGCTTCATGCATGCTGGACAAGCATCAACTGAACTATATCTCCAGCCCCACAAATGTATACTATTAATTCCCAACATAAAAACTAAAAGAAAGTAAAAGAGGAGAGAAGTGAGGGGAAGAGAAAAGGGAAGGGTGAGAGGTAGACAGAAGGTGTGTGTGCTTGCCAAGATCTACCCTTGACTTAGTCTGCAGTGCCAACAAAGGAACAAAAAAGTTTTTAATATATAGTTTGTAAAAATCTGTCTTACATTCAACTAATAATAACTGTCCAAAGTGAAGAGAGTAAGTGTATGGAGTGCCTAGCCACAAACGGGACATCTATATCACATCCACTCTGCCTAAGGCTCAGGGACCATCTTGGAATAGGAGTTGGAAAGATTCTAAGAGCTAGATGTTGGGGAGGACCAGAGCAAAACAAGTATTTCCTGCACCTGACAGGCCTTGGTACTCAAGAACTCATAGCAGCTGTAGTTGCCTGCATAAGATCAAGCCAGCCACCACCCATAGTTGGGGGGATACTTCAGGTGAAGGCTTTTGGGAGTGTGGCCCCAGGTAGGCCTACTCAGTAGATGGTCCCACACCCACCAGTATATGGGCAGAACAAATTGGACTAGGTGGGGGAAAAAAGGAACGAATTTGGGAGGGAGTGAGGTGTATTTGGGAGAAGTAGGGGTGAATATAATCAAAATACACAGCTTTTGGTTATGTATGCATGTATGAAATTCTCAAATAAGAAGTATTTTTAGTCAGGTATGGTGGTGCTTCCCTTTAATCCCAGTACTTGGGAGACAGAGGCAGGAGGATCTCTGTAAGCTTAAGGCCAGCCTGGCTACATAATGAGTTCCAGGCCAGCTGTTGCTATAAAAATCCCAGTCTAAAAAGAACTAAAATCAAAACAAAAGTTTTTTTTTTTTTTTTTTTTTGGTTTTTTTGAGACAGGGTCTCCCTGCAGCCACAGCAGGTCTGGATTTGCTATGGAAACCAGGCTGGCCTTGAACTCAGAGATCTGCCTGCCTCTGCCTCTCAAGTGCTGGGATTAAAGGCGTGAGCCACCACACCCAGCCCACAAAAGTATTTTTTTAAAAAAATATAAAGGTCTTGGGGCTGGAGAGATGGCTCATCAGTTAAGAACACTGGTTATTCTTGTAGAAGACCTGGGTTTGAATCCCAGCACCCACATGACAGCTAACTACTGTCTGTAACTCCAGTCCCAGAGTATCTGACATCTCTTCTGACCTCCACGGGCATCGCTGGACATGGGTGTACATGCCGGCAATACACACATACACATAAAATTTAAAAAAAAGGTCTTGCCGGGTATGGTGGTGCATGCCTTCAGTCCTAGCACTCAAGAAGCAGAGGCAGACAGATCTCTGTTAAGTTCAAGGTCATTCTAGTCTATATAGCGAATTCCAGACTATTTAGGGTTATAGGGAGACCCTGTCTCAAAATTACAAAAAAGAAAGATTTAATTACAGAAAACAAATGCTTTTATATTTTCCTATAATCATTTCTCAATTTGAAAGCGTCAAATTTGCATATCTTTGGATCGCATCTTAGACTGTTTAATTTATTTACTTTTAAATATTTTATTATTTTTAGTGTATCAGCATATTGCCTGCATCTATGTAAGTGCATCCATGTTGTATGATGCTCAAGGAGGTTAGAAGAGGGCATTGGATTCCCCTGGAATTGGAGTTAAGGATGGTTCTTAGCTGCCACGTGGATCTCAGAATTGAATCTGGGTCCTCTGCAAGAGCAGTCAGTGTTCTTAACTGCTGACCCATCTCTCCAGCTCTAGAATGTTTTATTAAAAAAAAAAAAAATTGGGGCTGGAAAGATGGCTCAGAGGTTAAGAACACTGATAGTTCTTGCAGAAAACCTGGGTTCGAATCCCAGCACCCACATGGCATATAACAATTGTCCGTAACTCCAGTTCCAGGGGATCCGACAGCCTCTTCTGTCCTCTGCAGGCATTGCACGACACAGGTGCACTTACCTACATGTAGGCAATATATGTGTACACATAAAAATAATAAATAAATAAAAAATTTTTTCTTTTGGTCTTTTTTAAGACAGGGTCGCCCAGTAATTCCAGCTGACCTGAGCTCACTATGTAGTCCAGGCTGGCCTTGAACTCACAGAGATCTGCCTGCTTCTGCCTCCCAAGTGCTGGGATTAAAGGTGTGAGCCACCATGCCCAGCAATAAATAAAATATTAAAAAAAAAAATCAATTGTTGCTAAGTAGAGTTACACACATACACACACGCACAGATAAGTAAATTTTCTCTTGGATGGGCATGGTGCCACATACCTTTAATTCCACCACTTGGGAGGCAGAGGCAAGTGGATCTCTGTGAGATTGAGACCCTCCTAGACTACATGGCAAGTTCCAGGCCAGCTGGGGCTACAGGGAGACCCAGTCTCAAAAAGAACTCTCCCCACTCCCCAAGAAAATTTTGGCTTAGAATTAGGACAGAACTTCCAATCTTAAAATTGGCCTTAAAGACGCTTCTACCCTTTTGTACTCTGAAGTGGAAGCAGGCACTCTCAGCACTGACAATTATAAAATCAACTCTGAAAAACACTTAAGATACTCTATGTCCTGACTGTTAAAAAGATTAAGGCAAGATTTAATTCTTTATGTAAAAATAAGCACACCTATCACATTAATGTGTGCATTTTTGGTATTTAATAGATGAAAAAATTATGTATATGCCAAAGAACTGTTTTATCTAAAAATATTCTTTTAATTTTTTTCACTGATTTATTTATGTATTCATGCATTTATTTTTTTTAATTTTATTTATTATATTTATTTTATGTGTATGTGTGTATTGCCTGCATGTAGGTAAGTGCACCCGTGTTGTGCAATGCGCACAGAGGTCAGAAGAGGCTGTCGGATCCCCTGGAACTGGAGTTACGGACAGTTGTTAGCTGCCATGTGGTTCTTGGGTTCGAATCCAGGTCTTCTGCAAGAACAACCAGTGTTCTTAACCGCTGAGCCATCTCTCCAGCTCCCTGCAATTATTTATTGTGTCTATGTGCACCCTGGTGCACATGTGGAGTTCACAAGGAAATTTAATGGAAGTTGGCTTTCTCCTTCCACCATGTAGGTTCTGGGAATCAAACTCAGGTCATAAGGCCTGGGGGCAAGTGCCTCTATCACTGAGCCATTTGGCTGGCCCAAAAAATTTGTTTATGGGGTTTTTTAAGTCAGGGTCTCACTATGCAGATGAGGCTGGCCTCAAACTCACAGAGATATACCTGCTTCTGCCTCCCAAGTGCTGGGATTAAAGGCATAAGACACCAAGCTGAGCCCAAATGAATTGTTTTAAAAATAAATTTATGTTTATAATTATCAGTAAATATTTGAGTTATATGTTTATTTTATATACCTATGTACTGGGAGTTGTATAAAAGCTTCTCAGGAATAAAGGGCTTGGATAAAGTGGATTGGTTTAGAAGCCCTGCTCTGTGCACTAGCATAACAGGCACTAGTGTTGTTTCTCCAACATATGAAAATGTTCTCATGGTGCCAAGAGACCCAAGAAACACTTGGTACCAGAAGGATTCATTGAAATTCTAAAAGAATTTGGTATGAAGCTAACACTTCAATTTGTATGAATTTTCTCAGATGTGCTCTATGTGAAAAATTAATTAACTAATTCTTCATCAGGAAGCTTCTATCTCAACTGAATGGAATTTCAGCAACCTGTGGCTCCAGGAGCCAGAGAGTTACTAGGATAGTATGATACAGAGAGGTTATTTTTACCAGAGTCTCTACTATTCTCCTCAGATTCCTCCTCTTCATCATCATCAGAGTACTTTTTCTTTGGGGTCTTTCTCCGCAGACGCCTACTTTGCCTCATTGGCCGGGAGGGATGCCTCCTCAGTCTCCGGCTACAGAAATCAGTGTCGCTGTCATCATTAGATGGTGGATCTTCTTCACTTTCATCTGGATTTTCATCAGATACAACAAACTCATCTTGGGATCTGTCCAAGAAAAACCACATAGTTCATGATGATACAATTAGGTTTTGGTTCTTTTTTTTTTTTAAGTCTTTTTTGAGACAGGGTCTCCCTGTAGCCCCAGCTGTCCTGGAACTCACTATGTAGACCAGGCTGGCCTTGAACTCACAGAGATCCAGCTGCCTCTGCCTCCTGAGTGCTGGGATTAAAGGCGTGCACTGCCACCAAACCAAACCGGCTGGTTTTGGTTCTTTTAATAATTTTTGTAAAATGGTACATTTTGAAGTACCCTAGATTGAGCTTCCCCAGATTGTATGGAGTCCAACCCCCTACATTGGGACCACCTATATATAGTCCATCCCACAACCCCAGTCTAGGCTTCTGTGCTCTTTAGTAGGGGCCCAGACCTTTGTAGACTGCCTGAGAGCACCTAAATCAGAGTTCCTCTTAGCAAGCTTCCCAAAATATTCTGGGACGGGGTTCTAGAAGGGGTCCAGACCTTGGGAGGAAGCCTGAGAGCATCTAACTGGAGCCTGACTTGGACATCTGCAGGAGCTTCTGAGTAGCTGGACTGAAGCCATTTGTTCCCTCCAAAATAAAATCTGAGAGAATCCGAAGCCTAGACCAACCAGCTTTACATACCCAGTAAGAAAACATTCAAGGCACACCAATAATACAGACGCAGACTTCAACTCAACAAAGGAAGATTTGAGTTTCACACCAAAATCACAAACAGCAAAAGAAATCCACATGCCAAAATCACAACGGAAAAAGAATCATATGGAAAACCAAAACATTAAGTTCCCACCAAACCTCCTAGAGATAACCCACAACACTGACCAAAGAATTTAAACGAATTTAAAGAACACACAAACAAATCAAAGAACTAAAAGAAGAAAGGGATAAATTTCTGAATAAATTCAGAAAATAAATACAAATACTGAAGAAAACTCAGGCTGAAATGAAAAAGGAAGTGAAAAAACTTAATAAGCCAATTAGAAATGACAGGAGAAAGCCTCACTGCTAGAATGAATGAAGTGGAAAACAGAATATCAAGACTGGACAAGAAAGTTGAAGAATTAGACCGCTTAACTAAAGATTATGAAAAAATTTAAAAACACAGGAATGGATTACGCAGGAAATGTGGGACACCACGAAAAGACCAAATTTATGCATCGTAGGCATAGAGGAAGGAGAAAAATCTCAGGATAATGGTATTCACCACATTATTACAGAGCTATAGTCATAAACACAGCATGGTTCTGGCACAAAAATAGACACATAGATCAACACAACTGAAGGCCCAAACCTGAGTACATGCAATTTCACACCTGATATTTGACAAAGGTGCCAAGAAGACACAATGGAGGAAAGAGCATCTTCAACAAACGGTGCTGGCAAAACTGGATCTCCATCTGCAGAAGAATAAAACTAGACCCTTATCCTTTTTTTGGGGGGGGGTCTTTTTGAGGCAGGGTCTCCCTGTAGCCCCAGCTGGCTTGGAACTTGCTATATAGACCAGGCTGGCCTCAAACAACAAAGAATCAAGAAAACAAGTGACCCAATTAAAAGATGGGCTAAAGATCTAAACAGAGATTTCTCAAAAGAAGAAATAAAGATGGTTAAGAAACATTTAAAAAAGTGTTCAACATCGTTAGTAATTAGGGTTATACCATTCCTTGGCATATACCCAAGGACTCATGCTACTGCAGAGATACTTGTACAACCATGTTTGTTGCTGTTCTTTTCACAATAGCTAAGAGACGGAAGCAACCTAAGTGTCCCTTAACTGACAAGTGGCTAACAAACATGTGGTACATTTACATAATGGAGTTCTACTCAGCAGTAAAGAAAGATGAAATCATGAAATTTGAGCTAAATGGATGGATCTAGAAACTGTTATACTAAGTGAAGTAAAAAAGACTCAGAAAAACAAAAGATGTTCTCCTTCATTTGTGGATCCTAGCACTAAAGCCTTATCTATATCCTGATGTAACGGCAGGAACCAGGAAAATGGAAGAGAACCAGGGAAGTAAAAGGAAAGAAGGAACCCAAGAGAGAACAGTAGGAGACAGCTGTTACTAAGGGAGAAATGTGTAAAATGGGCATCGTTAAATGGGAGGGGAGAATGAGGGCTACACAAGGAACTATGGGGCCAAAGAGAAAGAAGATGCTCAAGAGAGGTGGGACCATAGCAGACAGGAATTATCAAGAGAGAAATGGGGAAAATAGGGACATTTTAATGGGGAGGATAGGAGGGAGGATAAGACAGGGAGAGAAAGAGAAGAGATAAGTAATGCCTAGCTAGTATAAAAAAAAAGAGGGAATCGTATTAATCCAAAAATCTACTGAAAAATTACACATACAATATCTCTACATGAGTCCATGTACATAGCTGAAAGCCACACAAAAGGAACAGTGCCAGACAGGAGAAACATTCCTTTGAGTTGTTGGCCAGGGTAGTCCCAAGAGACTTCCAAAATTACTCAGGCTATTGCCATAGCCCTTGATTGCCCCCCAGAACTTGAAGGTATGACCATTTAAGCCTGAAGTATGAAGACAGGCAAACTTTGGACATAGGATTTGGAGCAATGGTACTAGGAATGACCTGGAAGCCACCTCCCCTGAAGGCTAGCTCTCATAGCTTTGGAGAGTACTAGGCAAGCTGGTAAAGGAGAACATTAACCGATGGCCCAACCCCAGCTCCAAGGCCTAAAAACCACATCAATGACCAGCACAGCAAACACTGGTGCAGTAGTGGCACTTTTATCTTGGGGGTAATCAACATCTACCTAATTGGACTTAAAGCTTACTCAATGGGAGGAAACTCCTGTGTGGTACTGTAAACCTAGCCAAATATACATAACTGGAGAAGTCATAGATCTTACAGAAAACCCCAAGTCACATCCCTAGACAATGTAATTTCTTCTTTTTTAAAAAAATATTTTATTTATTATTTTTATTTTATGTGTATGCATGTATCGCCTGCATGTAGGTAAGTGCACCTGTGTCGTCAAGGCCCACGAAGGACAGAAGAGACTGCTGGATCCCCTGGAACTGGAGTTACAGACAGCTGTTAGCTGCCATGTGGGTGCTGGGATTTGAGCCCAGGTCTCCTGCAAGAACAGTGTTCTTAACCACTGAGCTATCTCTCCAGCCCGACAATGTAATTTCTTACTATGTAATTTTACAGAGTGTGGGTCCTTGAACAGAGCTCCTATATCAAAATCCACCCACTCAGGGCTCAGAGACCACTGCAGAAGAAGGGGTGGAAAAATTATAAGAACCAGGGAGGAGGTGCATGACCATATGGAAATAAGAGTCCTATAGGTTCCTGGGATTCTTCTCATATGAACCATCATCTTATGCAATGGTGTCAGCATGCACAAGACCCATGCAAACTCAAGCAGACAAAAACCAAGCACAGAACTGTGGAAATGGACAGCAGGCCCCAATCTTAGTCGAAGAGTTATTTCAGCTGATTACTGCTGGGTGAGGAAGAGCTGATCTTCTTAAAGGGAGGGACTCTAGATAGGCTGACTAGACCTCAGGCAATGAATTTGCACTGAGGGACATTTGGGGACACTAATTGACATGATAAGCCTTAACACATGACAGACTGTCTGAATTCACTGGGGTGGCTATGGGAGGTGGTCAATGGGGAAGGGTGTATAAAGATGATTAAAATGTTCTGTATGAAATAGACAAAAATTCAATAAAAATATTTTTTAAAAAGAAGTGATAACTAGTTTTTCAGTTCCAAGTACAAATTTTTAAGGTCTTTTAAAATTATTTTTAAAAATTTAACGCTTATGAGTGTATTGCCTGCACGCACATAGGTGCACCTGTGTTGTGCAATGCCTGCGGAGGTCAGAAGAGGGCATCGGATCCCCTGGAACTTGAATTACAGATGGTTGTTAGCTGCCATGTGGGTGCTGAGAATCGAACCCAGGTCCTCTGCAAGAGTGGACAGTGCTTTTAACCTCTGAGCCACCTCTCCAGTCCCTAAAGTTCAAATTTTTAGCTCACCCCACTCTATAATCCAGCTCTTTGATGTCCTGGTCCCAGCTCTACCAGGGCATTCTCTGCCCCCTTCTCATATTCATGCTATCCTGAGTCACCAAGAGTTTCCTAAGTAGTCCATGAATTTGAAGATGTGACTCTCTGGGGTGCTTTCTTTTCTCCCCTTGCTTCTAACCCCAAGCTCACTGGGCTGCCCCTATAAGTCATTCTACAAATTTCAGTTCTAAGGTCTTACTGCATGGGTTCCTTGGCCTCCTTAGATGGAGCCAACCATCTTCTCTACCTTAATTTATATCCTACCTATGTTATAGAAGAAGATTATGCAGAATAACTTTTTGTGGTTGATATGCTTCTCATTACATCTATGAGCAAGTTGAAAGGAGAAACTTTACAGTATTGTTTCGATATCTGTTCTGCATAGAAGCCACTTTGATCCTCATACTGGATTAGTGGCCCCTTTCCCCAACTACAGATCACAAGAGAATGGTAACTAATTACTTCTTCTTTTTTGTCTATTTTGAGACAGGGTATCCCTGTAGCCCCAGCTGTCCAGGAATTCATTAATAAATCAAAGTTCAATTATTGCTAATCAAATTTAAATAAAAATTTGAATATTAACGACAAATCTAGCTTTAATTTTAATCTAAAAAGAAACAAAATCAGCATTTGTGAATTTGCTGTAAACATCCTGAAAATGCAGATTGCTTATGTACATGAAGAATAAATGCCACATCCCAGCACAGCCACGGCTCTCTACAGACCCAACTCTGTTTACACTGGCTCCTAGAGAACAGGTCTCCAAGCAGGTTACGCACCCATCACTGATCTTGAACTCATCCTCACTCTCTTCTTCATCTAGGTTGCTGTCACTGTCAAGATCATTAAGTCGCCGGCGTTTCTTCCTCCGAGCAGCAGCTGCCCTCTGGGGTCGTTTATTTTCTTTTCGTTCTTCATCTAAAATGGTAGAGATGTCTTTCCCACGGTGACCTGTGATGGTGGAGATGTCTTTTCCTCGGCCAACTCCTGAAGGAAACAGATAACTGCATGTTTATTAAACCTTCCCTGTAACTTGTAAACTGTCCTTATTTGTGAGTACCTCTTTATTTAATTGCTTCTTAGAAACATACAAATCTCTCACAACTTCAGCTGTCAAAGCTCTAAAGAACTGGCATATCTGTCCTACCGAATACAAGTTTACAATGTAAGCACTCTCTCTCTCTCTCTCTCTCTCTCTCTCTCTGTCTCTCTCTCTCTCTGTCTCTCTCTCTCTGTCTCTCTCTCTCTCTCTCTCTCTCTCTCTCTTATATTTGGTCTTTTTGAGACAGGATCTCCCTGTAGCCCCAGCTGTCCTTGAACTCACAGAGATCCGCCTGCCTCTGCCTCTGGAGTGCTGGGATTAAAGGCGTGCGCCACCACGCCTGGCCCAGGACCCAATATTTTTAAATTTTGAATCGATATAACACTAAATGATACTTTTTTCTTTTTTCCCTGTGGGGTATGGTTTGAGACAGTCTCTGTGTAGCCCAGGTTGGCCTTGAATTCATAATCCTTTTGCCTCAACTTCCTGAATGCTGGGATTACAGGTGTGTACCACTATGCTTGGCTCAATACTCATCTTAAAATTTTTTTTTTAACTTAATGTGTGTGCAGGTGTGTATGTGCCAAGGGGCACTTGTGAAGGTCAGAGGACAACTCCCAGTTATCATTCTGTCTGACAACCTGGTGGGATCTGGAATGGTACTTAGGAGTAAAGTCTGTGCACATGTGCCTCTTCCCACTGAGTCATCTTGCTAGACCTCAATACTCATGATTTTCATTTTTCTTTAAATTTATGCGTACACGTGTGTGCCCGTGAGTAAATGTCACATATATGTGGGTACACTCAGAGGCCAGAAGACGGCATTAGATCCCTTGGAGCTAGAGTAACAGGTGGTTATGAGCCACCCAATATGGGTGCAAGGTCTGGCACTCAGGTCCCCTGGAAGAGCAGGAAATGTTCTAAACTTCTGAGCCACCTCTCCAGCCCCAATACTATCCTTTAAAGAATGTAACTCAGAGGTTTGTAAATGTAATCACAGAGTTATCCAACTATCACCATTAACCAATGAGAGAACATTTTATCATTCCAAAAAGAAACCTCATACGTATTAGCAGTCACTCAAGAATTTCCTTTAAAACAGAAAGGAAAAAAAAAAAAGGATAAAGGATAAAAACATAAAGGACCATCTCTGAAAAACTAAGATGTCAGTTCCTTTACAAACAATCTACTTATTGATCCATTCTGGAGTTTTCATAACAACAGGAACAAACCAGAATATTCCACATTGGATCATTTGGTAACTGGCTACAGAATGCTTTAATAAATTACCCTCAAATTCTTCTATAATGCCATTTTGAAAGACAATGAAATTAGCAAACTGATTTTTAACAGCTATACAACAGCATTTAGATTTGGGTTATTCACAACTGACTTCATAGTTGCAAAGACAAGAATAAGGTTCCTTAGTATTCTAACTGCAACCAGTTAAGAGTTGTTTGCTCAATGGAGAAAAATTAACATTTTGTATTAGATCATAAAAAGTTAACAGTAATTATCAAGATTTCTATATACTGGTACTATGTCAATAGAGTATTTTGAATGAGAGACAATTAGTTCAGTGTTAACACCGGGGAGGAGAATAACCTGATGGCAGAATTATGTGAAAAAAAGCAAATGATAAAAACATACCTCCTCCATCAGCCTCTTTGATATCATCTTCGATAGCTTCATCAATTGCTTCATCAAACTCATCAAATCTAAAACATGCACAACGACCATATTATAGACTTTGTTTTTGATTTCTAAAGATCACCTACACTAGGTGGCTGCTCTTTGTGTCCCCTCCCCAACTCAAAGTGGAAGCCTAACCACCAGCAGATGGCATTAGGAGGTGGATACATACTTTTAATAACACGTAAGAGAACTGGTTGCTGTAACGGAATAAATGGGGACATTTGATCTAGAGGACGTTAGCAAGGGAAAAATGGTAAGAAACTGCAGAGAGTAAAGAGCTGCACAGGGGGCTAGAAGACAGCAGTATAGTAGATACACAGGGGGAAGATGGCAGAATAGTAGATACATGGGGGTGGGGGTGGGGGGTAGGGGACAGCAGTATAATAGATACACAGAGAGGGAAGACAGATGAGATGGAGCTGGAAAGTTAAGTAGAGATGAGACCACATAGTACCTTACAGACTTGTTAAATCCTATCTCAAGAGCTATAAAAACCCAACAAAGGGGGCTGGAGAGATGGCTCAGCAGTTAAGAGCACTGACTGCTCTTGCGAAGACCTGGGTTCAATTTCCAGCACCCACATGGCGGCTTCAAACTGTCCTTAACTCCAGTTCCAGGGGAATCTGAAGCCCTCTTCTTACCTCCAGAGCATTGCACGGCATGGGTGCACTCATATACATATAGGCAATACACTCATACACATGAAAAGAATAAATAAACCAGGCCGTGGT